AGTGTACAATTTTCTGTTTTTAAAAGACTTTCAGCACTGTTACCATTGTTAAACAAGGTAAGGTTGATGTTAGGAAAGAGCTGTTTTATGTACAAGGCCTTTGTTATAACAAGGTGTTCTCAGAAATTTGAGTTGCACTTTGATTTATAAATGACTCCAGTGTTATAGACTAGTATTTTTCTTAAGGGCTCTTGTAAATTTTGACTTTAAAATCTTTCTCTTGGTGCTTCAATTTAGTCAAAAGGCTAATAATAGATATCATCAATCTTAGAGACAATATTGTTATCATTTTGTTGGCTTTTTATTCCTCAAATTTTATTAACTGGCTTATTAAATATCTCTCTCTCTCTCTCTCTCTCAGTGCAGCTGAAATTTTTAAGATCTTTCTATTAAAATAACTTTTTTGGAAAATAGGTTTCTCAAATCCAGTAACTGCCTTTTCAGTACTGATAGGGATTTCCTTCCTACCCTTTTATTTGAAGTAGTGTAGGATATCAGCATCTTGATGATGTTATTATTCTCTTCGAGTTACGTGTGATATCCATCTTCATTGTTGATGTAGTTTTTATTATTTGCTACAGTTCTTTGTGATTCTTTAGCACCAGTCCACAATTATCAAAGGAGGACAGTCTTAGCCAAAATCCAGACTTCACTATCAGTCATTTTTAATCTTTGATCTTAGAAAGCAGTTGTATAGAGCTAACAGTTTAGATATTTCTGAATAGATTTGGTACCATGACATCCATATGAAGGTCTCAATCTGAGATGGCTTGTGTGTGTTTTTTTTTTTTTTTTTTTTTTAGATTAATGTTTTACATTTGAAGCAATTTGTATTGTCGGGCAAAATTACTTGTGTTTGGTATTTACTAATTTCATGTCCTGAATTTTTTATGATGGATTCAGGGTAGTAATAATTTTGGGGGATTTCAGCTAATAACCTAGTTTGTTTATTGCTTGGTTGACAAGTTATTAAATGCAAAGTGTCTGGCTTTCATATTAAATGACTGGAATAGACTTACAAACAGACCGAGACAATTCTGTCAGTTAATTGCAAATAAAGGTTTAATTTTGACATGAAAGAACTTTTACACCTTCTTTCCCAACTGTTGCAACTGAGCCATTAAGTACATTTTTTTAAATTTTATTTTGTTATATCCAAAAAGTTTTTACCACTTATTTTTTTTTCTATTCCAAAGGAGTAATGTTGACAGAAATTTGCTTTTAATTACTTGCTGTTTGTTTGTTTGTTTCTTCTTCATCCATTTTGTAATGTATTTGGGAAAAGTATGAATCTACTCCCTGTACTCCTTTGTATTATGTCTTAAAAGAAATTTAAAATAGTTGACAGCATTTAGGTAAACCACTATCCCATTTTTTTTTTTTATTTGTTATATTCTTAGAATAGGATATTTTTGAAAAATAAGATTATTTTTAGAGCGTGCTGTTAACATATTCACACCTCTCCTTTTCTGTCGGTTTTGGTATGAGGGTGACTAAAATCTAATCAAAATGGTTGGCAATGGAATGAAGTGCAAGGTGAATTGGATTTATGCCTTCCTCTCAAGAGCATTATGTGGCATAAACAGTTTCAACTTTTTCTCACATGTGTGTGATCAACAAATTTTTTATCTGACATGACTTTCCTGTGCCTATTTTGTGGGCACTCCTGTTTGAGTTCACACACACACACACACACACACACACACACACACACACACACACACACACATACATTATATATATATATATATATATATATATATATATATTTTTTTTTGTACATTTTCTTTAAGTCTCTTGAATATGCAGACTTGTAGATATAATTCACACTGCTTAAAAATTAAAAATAAACAATGTGTCTACTCAAACATGGGTATTCACAAAATAATATTTGGAGTAATATATATTATGGTTTCAGTAGGAAGTAGGTTGGTTTTGAATTCAAAGATGTTCTTGTTCTAGACCAGTTGCCAACCAAGATGAGATCCACGTCTGCCTTGCAATTTAACCCATAACTGTGGGGATGAAATGAATTCATGTACTTTTTTATTTTATTTTTTTTTTATTTTAAAAGACATTTATAGAAAAGTGAATGTAACAGCTTTGCTTAGAATTGAATTCAACTTGCTAATTCTATTTTCCACACTGATAACTGTTATGCTACATGCACATTATTATTTTTTATTTATTTATTTACAAGGTGATGAACATGTTGGCTTTGATGATTACTTATGGCCTGTTAAAACTTTTGCAAGCTGTTGACAGAACTAATGGCATTGTATTTGTTAGTTTTCATTTAATGTTATTGGCTTAAACATTTTCAAGATTGCTTTTTTTTTCCATTTGGTACATAAATGGTAAATAATGAATGACTTTGCTTTGTATTTGATTAACTATTTACATCCAGTTACCCGCCCCCTCCCCCCATGACCTAGTTGTCCATACAGGGTCCTTACAGACATTTGTCTGGAAAATGGGGTAAATGTTCTCCAAATAACATGCATTCTACTGAGTGGTTACATAAAGACAGTAACAATACTAATTATCCCTAATTTAACTCTCTACTAAATACTTGTGCCAAACACAAAAAAAAACTAGTTAGTAGTGATAGAAAGGAAAAAAAAGAAATCCTTCTCTTATCCCTAACATTGAAATAGGCACAAACAAGCAAAAAAGATGCAATGATTGCATGAAATCTTAATGCGAAAGCATTTTTTACAGTATAGACATAAAGGTATAAATACAAAATTTGCACAAAAATGTCCTTTTGTACACTGATTAAGGCAGGATAATAAATTCTGATATGTTACAAAAAAGGATTACTATTGAAAATAAGAAAAGGTTACAATTTCTAAAATGACAAAAAGAGAAAGCACATTCAGGAAAGTAAAAAAACAAAGGTACACCCACCTTTTGGGGGGCCAAAAAACTACTTATCTCATGAATGTCTCTGGAACATTGCAATTTTGAAAATTGTCTTTTTTATATCCTGCTTTACTGAAGCGTTTGGGAAAATTTTTTTGTATTTTTTTTTCATTGTTTGTTGTCCAACCGTAGAAGTATTGTCATTTGTGAACTTCAAAATTCTTGAGGTTATCTGCAGCTGGCTTGTAATCTACCTTCTCATCTGAATTCCTTGATGTCTAGTTGCTCTCTTCTTGATGTCAAAGTGCTTCTGCAGTTATCTGCTCACTCAAGTTCTTTTTATTCAAAAAAAGAGGATCACAGGATGCTCCATTTAGGTTTTTGTTGGGATTGAGACCATGTCTCTCATTGTTCAAAAAAATACCTTTTCACAAATTCAAAATGAATGCATAACAATCTTGGCAGTTTTTAACTGCTGAGCCTAAATGATATGCACATGAACATTTTTTTTTTTTTTTTTTTTTTTTTACAAACTATATGGATTTCTTAATGCACTTTGCTCAAAAGAACATGTACAAAAATAAACCTGGATGATTAAACATTTAAGATTAACTTATTTTTAAAGTAATAAAATTTTTATAGTACTGTTTTCTGTACAACATTTATTAAAAGTAATAATTCAAGTAGATTAGTAAATGATTAAGACCTTATCAAGTTGGTTTGATCAAATTATTATTATTTGATAGTTCTATTATTATTAGTTTTAACCAGTTGAAATTTCATGATTTTCCCATTTTAATATTTGAATGAATCTTAATTCTTAAGTTAATGACTGAGTAAGGTCATGGCGAGTTCTACAACAATAAAATAGGTGTAGAAATTCCCCTATTGCATTGTTTAATACTTGAGTTTAACAACTTTAACAAAATATTGCAATAAGTCATAAATATGAATGCTGATCATTATTTTAAGAAGTGGGTAGAAATGAAAAGATTTAAAATTGACAACTTTTCCATTTCACTGAAACAACTGTTAAACACTTTTATCTTCACTTCTTTCTTTCATTCTTTCTTACTGAAATCAAGTTGTGTTTTCCCTTTCCATTTGATGAAAATGGAATAGTCCATTATTTATGAGGTATTGTCATGGCATAATGGTGGTGTGAACTAACAAAAGAAGGGACACACATAATAGGATTATTATTTTCTGTCTGAATTTCTGGGATGCAGGATTATTATTATTTACAGTTGGTCTAATGCCCTCGTCTTTGTTGTTATCACAACATTTTGGCCATTGTGCCCCCCCCCCGACCTTCTTCAGGTGGCTGTCAATCTGGATAACCTTCAAAACAAACTTTGAAATGAACACTTATTTAATGTTTGGGAATAGATTTTTCTCCTTCCACTTTCCTTGTTTAATGATGTCTTGTTCTTTATTTTTGTACTACTCAGTTATTTCTAATTCTGTTTCTATAGCGTCTGTACTACTTAGCCTGGGCATTGAATTTCCAATTATGAACCAACAATTTAATCTTCTAGATTATTGTCCCACTGAGAAATACTAAAATTTATTGATTAATCTACTGCAGTGGTTCCCAAACTTTTTTTCTCTCTGGGCTGCATTTTTTTTTTTTTTTTTTTTTAATTAAAATGTGCTCGTTTGGTGACTGGTTCTATTATACAGATAATTTTTTCTGGGAAGGTTGAAATTCATGCAAAATAATTCAGAAAGTATATAAGAGATAATGATTTAAAGGTAGATAACTATGAGAGTTACAATGCATTATTATTTTTATTTATTTATTTTTTTTTAAGGAAAGATAGAGCAAAAGGAAGATACAAAAGAGGATTTGGTAGAAAATATGTGTATCTCTTACCCATACCAACGTTTTTTTTTTCTGTATATGAAAGTAATTCATGCTTTCATAACATTTAGATAAAAATATATATAAGCAACAGATTTGAAGGGATAAGGGAAAGTGAGAAGATACAGGCAAAATGTTAGAGAAAAGCAGATGCATGAGATAACAGACAATCTGTTTTCACAACTGTGGAATTTCTACAGATCAAGCTAGTTTTCAATTACAACTTAATTTTTTTTCATTTTATTTTGTTTCAGGTGTCTAATCCAAAATGATGGAGGAAGTGTTGGATGATCAGCAGCCAGAAATTTTAGGGAAACTGGAAAGTTATGCAACATCTGCCCAAATTGCTCATGAATTGCAAGAGGCTGCACAAACTGATGTCATCTCATGTGAGTTTTTGTGTGTGCGTAGGGAGAGAGATACAGTTTGTTTCATGCGTAAGTGCAATCTTCAGGCCGTGCTCTTATGATTGTATTTAAGCATGATATGGACTGCTGCTGCTAGGTGTTGGCCTTAATGTCAATAATATATATATATATATATATATATATATATATATATAAATTGATGATGAGATCTGTTATCATTATTCTCATTTTCTCAAAAGATCTTAATCTCATAATTAATGGATAGTTGGCTACAAGCAGCAGCCTTAGGTATCCTGCAATTTTACTCTGACGCTAAGTTTTCATCCCTTACTGGATTATTCTTACCATTCCGTACAGGCTTTCTTTCTTTAACAGTTCTGGGCAGTCAATGCTAATTTTATTTATCCATATCTTCATTCTTTCAGTCACCATTTCAAGCATGCCAATGACAACTGGTATGATTGCAACTTTTAACTTTCAAAACCTTGCGAGTTCAAACTTCAATGGGTCATAATTGGTTACTTTTTCTTCCTCCTCTTGCTCTGGTGGTGACTGTATAATCATTGACCCTTCTTTTTCTATTTTATCTTCAACCAATATATCTGGTTTGTTGTGCTTCAGTCTCTCTTTGATTTTTTTTTTTTTTTTTTTCCTTTGCAAAATCAAAATTAACTCGTCTGTTTTAAAATATGTAAGTAGAAAAGAATTGCATCAGGATAAAAAAATTTTTTCTGTAGATCTTAAGGTTTAAGGGAGACAACTTGCTTATGAAATTGTGACCCACACTACAATAAGGATCAAATTCTTTACAGACAGCATTTGAAACAAACCTGTTCTGTGACAAGTATTTAATTCATATATATCATTTTAAATAAGATTAATCAAAGTGAAAAAATGACAAGTAGGTACAAACAATTTTTTAAACTTCCATATTTGAGGGACTATTCAAAAATTGTTCATTTTAAAATGAAGGATTTGCTCAAAAACAATTGGTGGGATAGTATCTTGTTAAGGCTTTTCAAAAGTCGGAAAATTGGTTCTTCATTTGCAAATAAAGATAAAATACCAATTATTTAGAATTTTTATACAATTTTAGTGATCTAAAGTTTTTTTTTTTTTTTTTTTTAATCACAGGACAAAACTATAGATAATCAGATACAAGTTGTGTAAATTTTTTATTTTTCCTAGAGATTTTTAATGTAGCCTTTCTTGAAATATTGCATAATTGTATGAATAGATATAACAAAATATTAATTTGGCTTAGTGTTAGAGATTTTTAATAACTAGCCAAATACCCATCCTACAAACTTCTCTCCTGTTGTTCCTGTCTTTAAGAATTCAAGTGAACTGTCTGATCCTTTTTATCAGCCTATTAGCCTTCTACCTCTTTTTAGCAAAGTACTAGAGGCTCTAATGAACTTAAAATTGGTTAAGCATCTCACCTTGCATGGTCTTCTATCAGGAAAACAATATGGCTTTTGTTTCTGTATGTCAAGCTTGGGCTGTTGCTTTAGATATCTCCAAGGCATTTGACAGGATTTGGCATATTGGTCATCTTCACAAGTTGAAAGGTTATGTATTTCTGGATGAATTTTTGAACTGATTCAATCTTTCTTATCAAATCATGAAATGAGAGTTGTCTTGAATGGCCACTCTTATAGATCTTTTTGCATAAATGCAGGTGTTACCCAGGGTTCTATCTTTGAACCTACATTGTTCCTAATTTTTACCAATGACCTTCCTGATGTCATCAGTTCTCTACTCAGTAATTGTGCTAATAACTCAGTCCTGTCTTAATAGTAATTCTGATCAGCACAATAAGTTCAAATTGGCAGCTGATCTTAAAAATAACCTACAATCTGTTATTAACTGGGACAAGGGATGGCTTGTTAATTTGCATGCCTCCAAAACAAAACTGCTCTCTTTTAATCGTCTAAGAGAACCCCTTTTTGCCTTCTTGGCTAATATTTATCTGCTGACATGAAGTGGAAATAGTGAATCAATTTGCTGGTTCTGCTGCTAGGAAAGTTGGTCCACTGTTATGCCAAACAATTTTCTTGCCAGAATTTATTTTATACATTTATAAGTCTACCATTTATCCATGCATTGAATATTGCTGCCACATCTGGTTTGGTGCTTCTGCTATGTATTTAATGATTCCTGATAAAATGCAAAGAAGAATCTATAATGTTATTGGTTCTAACCTGGCATCTCAGCTTCAATCACTTTCCCACTGTTGTAATGTAGCTTCCTTGTGCTGTTTCCATAAATATTTTCATGGTAATTGATTTGATGAACTTTCATCTATGGTACTATGGTATTAAATTCAATGTTAATCATTATTCTTTCCTTAATATTTTTTTTACTCATATTCTCTCAGTAAACCTTTGTCTTAGTGGCTTTATTGCCTGGCTTGACATGAGATGATAATAAAAAATAAATGTTAATCTGGGCTCCTTGTAATTCTCTAATCTTCATCAGTTTTTCATACTTTTTACTCTTTTAACTTTAACATCACTTGCAGCAGTTTTTTTTTTTTTTTTTTTTAAATTGCTTGCCTCATTTCCACTGGGCTGGGCAGTGTATTGAACTCAATAGAAACAGGTGAACAATAACTGTAGTAAAATGACTACTAGATGAAGTCTTTCTAGATGTGGTTAGTTGAGAACAATCTACCTCCTAGATTAAAATAAATGGTTCAGTTCAAAATTCCCTGTAGGTTACCTGTATTGACATACACCTGATGAAAGGTGGAGGGTACAACAGTTGAAACATTTTGATAACAACAAAGATGACGATCGTAGTCCACATGTAAATCGTATAACTGATAATAAAGATCATATTACACAATTATTTTATTTTATCTGCTAATATCTGCTAATATAAGTTTGTTTTGCTATATTGAATTGCATCATCTCCAAGTTTTTGCCAATTATCATTTCATTTATTTATCATTTATTCAGTTATTGTATTTTGTGCCACTGTGATAACCACGCTCCTCCAATTGTGGTTCATGATGACATTCAAGGCAAAATAGGGCAATGGTTTGCTGGTTCATTGGGGATGTTCAGTTTACCCCATCCATCCTCTCAGAAGTTCTTCTGCCCACTGGTAAAACCATTGACTTTTGGGGTGCAACTCCTACACCCAGGCTGGTGACTGTATTGGATAAATTTACTTTTTAGTATTTCAAGATATTTTTGTGTAATTTTGGTAAATATATGTTAAAATGAGATGTCAGTGTTATTTTCATTTTTGCATAATTTAGACAACAATTTATCCATTGCACCCTGTATATAACTTCTCTCGTTTTTGCAACCATATATGCCCCCCTCTTCACATACCTAAAAAACCTTGTTTGCTAGGCAGTCATATTTAAAAATTTCTTTTTCTGTTTCATCCCTATGAACAGGCCTGTTGGTATTTACCATCTGACAATGTAAAAATTATGTGAACTAATTTTTAGTGTGCACATTTTTTACCCACAGCACCCCTGGAGTTATGAAGTCGAAATGACAAATTGCATTGAAAACTGGCAGTACACTGTTAAGATCATTTTTGTAAACTTATTTGATCTGGGTACTTGACAGATAACAAATTTTGTATTGAGAACTTTTTTTTTTTTTTTTTTTTTTTAAGACATTCAAATCAACAGCATAATATGAAACAAAAAGTTGATGATGCTCATCTAATGCACCCTGACTGAGAATAAGGTAGCCAAGTATGCAGAGTAGGTTGTGAGCATTACCATTAAATAGACATTCTATTTCCACAATAAAATTATCCATATTGGAATAGATAGATATGCAATGACAGTTTTTGGCAGTTTGATCTCGCAACACTTTTTGATTTGCCACCTAAGACTTAACAATATGATAGTTTTTTGTTTTGTTTTAATCCATGTAACTCTTTCTTCCTTGAATTTGATTTATGCACCAGGGATGATTTCTTTGATAGCTAACTAACTTTTCTACATTTGTGCAGTTAACAAAAGTTTCTTTGGTTCTTCTAGCTGTTATTCTAGCTGTTATAACATCTACAGTCTTTTTGAAGATGTTTGTGTTTGACAGTTTTATTTTCATTAAAAATAACCCAATTATGAAATGGAAATTACATATGGCATTAATGCACTGCTGTCCTATATGTTTTGGGGTTGATCGTTCTTTATATCTACATGACCACCTTGTTATTGAGATTTAAGGGCTGATGAAATATTTTCCTTTATTGAATGTAATGTTTTCAAACAAAAAAAATCATTTGGGACTAGCCTCCAGAAAGTTACATTACAGAGAAGTTCAGTTCTTAGCACGCTATCTTGGGTAGCAAGATTTAAGAGGTACCCAAACAAGACAGAGATTGAAAGAGGAGAACGCTCTTTTATTCTTGTTACCAAACATCTATGAATGCTACTTCATATCTGCAGTGCCATCAAACCATGCTGTGATATCAAGAAATAAGTCCATTGTATATTTTCCACTAGATAACTTTCCTTCAGCCAAGTAATATCCTTGAACCAAAGATATAGACATTCCAAAAAGCTGCCATAGTTAATAATAGTATGGTCTTTTTCATGACCCCATCGAGCTATATATATTGTGAAGTTGTGAATAATAGTTTTGATAAAAATTTTAATGTATTTTCAATTGCATGCTATTTGCTGCTTGCATACAGGATTATGTTCACTTAACAATGTTTTTGCATTTGATCACTCGTCTATTCACTTCATTATAGCCTGCTGATACCAAACACTTAATACCATGTAAGCCATTTTATATTTTCCAGTTTTCAAAAGTGAAGGGTTGGACTATGTTACATAAACACTTTACCAGGGTGATATGAAACTTGATATTTGTCATCGTATTTATCACTTCAAATATTATCAGATTTGGAGGTATCAGGTCCTGTTGAGATTAGTTTTATTTGTTTTTTTTTTTTTTTTTTGTAATATCATGATTATCATAAATTTTATGAATGAATTATGACATAATTTTTAGACTGGTCTAGAATGGCAAACTGCTAGT